TGAAAGATTAGTTTCTTTTGCAATTTCTTTTACTTGATAAACTTTACTTGCACTCTTTATCCTAAAAAATGATTCTGAACACCAATGACAACTGGAATGTGTCTACCCTTAATGCTCTCTGCAATGAGTCGCGTCAGCTTGTCCTTGCCTCGAGGATTAAGATGCAAACCATGGACAGTATGTTCGCTCCTCAATATTGAAGAGACATCAATCGCATCAATGTGGGCCGCGCCGACCTCCACAAGCGAACGCTCAAGCCGAAGATTAATCACCCTTACACACCTGTTAATCCATGGAAAAAATGTGTTGTGTCAAGTGATGGCAAAGCTAACATTGATTTGAACTGAATTGAATTTAATAACATTGATAATGGAACTAACAATAAAAAAGTATATTCAGGATGGGCTAAAGTAACTAATGGTGTTCCACAGGGGTCAATACTGGGACCTCTTCTGTTTATAATATATATAAATGATTTGCCCAAGATATTGGAGGCAAAAAGTACACCTATTTTATTTGCAGATGATGCCAGTGTGTTAATCTCACATGCAAATCCAATTATGTTTAGAAATACAATAAACGAAGTATACAGTTTACTAGATGATTGGTTCAAAAAAAACTTAATGTCTTTAAATACAATGAAAACATATTATATAAACTTTACTGCAAAAAATCAGGTACAAAGGGATATAGGAGATTTAGTAACAATTATTACAAACACAAATCATACTAAATTTCTTGGACTGACCATTGAGAACGCCATGACCTGGGAAAGACATATTGATGAGGTAACAAAGAAATTGACTACAGCCTGCTACATGATCAGAAATATAAAACCAGTAGTATCTATGGAAATATTAAAAAGTGTCTACTACTCATATTTCCATTCGGTTATGACGTATGGCCTGATATTCTGGGGAAACTCGTCGCATGCCGAAAGGGTTTTTAAATTGCAAAAGAGAGCCATAAGATTGATCAAAGGCTGTGATCTTAGAGAGTCATGTAGAGAACATTTTAGGGATATGAACATACTGCCCCTAAGATCACAGTACATGTACTCATTAATTATGTTTGTAATAAATAATAAAGAAATATTCAGTATAAATAAGGATTACTATGGAAAAGATACTAGACAAAATATGAATATACATATGTACCAGGTCAATTTGGCGAAATACAGGAATGGGGTTTATCACATGGCTGCAAGGATTTATAATGGACTTCCAAATACAATCAAAATAATCTCAAATAATGAAAATAAGTTTAAAGCCAGTTTAAAAGAGTTTTTATTTGTGAACTCCTTTTATACATTGGAGGAATATTTTAATAGATGACAATGGCAACATTATGCAAAGGGTAATTTATATATTTAACTTTTTAAATTGATTACAGACAGACATATATTACTGTTATATGTTAATTAATAGTTTTCAAATTTTAAGGTTCTTGCTATGAAATGACTGATTGTATATACTGAATTTTTATTATACTGTATATTCTAATTTTTAAGTCCTGATTAAATGTATTATATTTGGACTGTTGAATTGGGTATTTAGGTCTTTTGTATTAATTTATGATTGTGACAATGATAAGCATATATCTGCATAAATTTGATCATGTTTGAGTGTTTTATGTACGAATTTTGTACTGTGGCTGTATTGCATGTTGATGGGTCCATTGTTATGCATGTGTTTATTGTGTATTTTGACATGTTCTGTATCCTGTGGCGTGCGTGACCTGAAAGGATCTGTGGAATTTAAGATGAAGTGAAGTGAAGTGAACACTAGTCATTTTTAAAACTTCTATTGTAGGATACCTATACTTCTTTAGTTATGATTTTACTGTTATAGACAATGTTAATATGTATTTCATTATGATAATAAGTAGCAGTGCAAGTGTTACATGCATGTTCTATTTAATTATTTAATTGCAGGTGGGCTCTTTTTATTCTTTAGGTGAGTATTATGAATGGAAAACAAGGGATGATTGTGCTAATTACAGATAAATAAAACTACACTAGTCATTTTTAAACTTTTATTGTAAGATGCCCATAACTCTTTGGATATGATTTTGCTCTGTTATTGACAATGTTGATATGTATTTTGTTATGATAATAAGTTGCAGTCCGAGTGTTATATGCATGCTGTGTTTAGTTATAGCATTGTATCATCAGTTATTGCAACAATGGTTGTGGATATGTTGTAATATCTTAATGACGTTGTCCTCTGGATTAATTTTATTGTAACTAGGCCTTTGACGTGTTCTATATCTGGTGGCGCCATCGCCAAATGTAGATCTGATGAACAAAATAAATTGAATTGAAATCCACACACACATGTAGTATAAATCACAGGTAGGAGTTCAGAGGAAGAAAGTGCTGCTGGATCATTTTTGATAAATAGGAAATGTGTTTATATATGAATTATCTAGAGGTACGAAAAAAAGGGGGTACATTGGCCTATCATTCCACCAGCGCCAAATATCTTCCACAGAAAACCTGAACGTTCTTGTCTCGTATTAGGATTATCCGAAATATTACGTTCGAAGGACCAAAGATGCGGTGCATGGGAAATTTTCTGACAAAAACAGGTGCTATATGACACAAAGAAAGTTGAACACATAAACTAATACAGCACAGTGCAACATGATGCTGCAATTTAATGTTATAAATTAATGCACTCATTATTAGAAGTGAAGAAAAGCAGTGGTCAACAAGAAATTATATTAAGTGGATAGAGTTTGTTGCAATTGACAATTAAAGCTCTAACATCCCATATAATGAAACGAGAAATAAATATGATTTTCATATATAGCGCCCTGCGTCCTGGTATAAGAACTGATGTTACGTTTGTAAGATAATAGCCATTTGCTAGTGTATTTAGTATATTTATATATCGGCAGTAAAAATCATATCTTTATCATACGCACGATACAATGTCTTACTTTTCGGTAAAGCTTTATCGCGCAGCTTCCGTTCTTTGATTTACAGATGTTTTTTAAATACCATTTTCTTATCCCACATCTGACTTTCCCCAAACCCCGCCACCACACACACACACACACACACACACACACAGAATAAATTTGTATCACGTGATTCCACTTTGTTTAGAACGGTTTAGAACGGTTAGAAACTGCGCAGACAATAATAAACAAGATGGCCGATCCCGAAGCTTCATCGTCAAGCGGAGAGCCATCAGACATTCAAGAAAATGACAAAGCTGAAGAGTTCATTGAACCTGAAAAGAAGAGACGAAAAATTTGCAAAATTCCTGACGGAAAATCGGATAAACTTGAACAAAGGTTGGGTGGGATATTGTGTTGCGCTGTATGTTTGGATCTTCCGAGGGCTGCTGTTTATCAGGTTTGTTTTTCAATCAGCTGACTGAAATAGCGACTGCAACTTGCAAATGATATTTAATAATTTATGCAGTTTTAGTATTATTGGATCGTATCTTCGGAAACGATTTCGCATGATTTTGTTACACTGTTTTGTGTTTAAGGACGCTGCGTTTTTGGCCTAAGTAGGGGACTGCACAGTACTTTAAGCCTTCTTAACATATGTTCTTAAATTTTACCCTCGACAGTAACATCATCTTTTTGTATATAGCATATAGATAACTTTTGTAACATAGCTAATATGAAAAAACGGTGACTGCTGTGATGTTCTAAATAAAGTTTCATAATTGGTAGTGAAAGAGGTTAATACGATTGTGTACATTTTTTGTTCATGTTGGGTGGTGATGTTCCTAACGATTACACGAGGTTTGGAAGAACTGTATGAGTTTACATTTCAATTTTAATTTATTCTGTTGATCCATACTGGTACAACCATTGGATATAGAAAAGTAAAAATACAAGACAGTACAATATGAATAAATGATAATAAATAAATAAATAAGACATGCAATCATTAAAAGATTTTGTTGAAAAAAATAAAAATAATAAAATACTGTAAATACTGATACAATGATGTTGCTATTACCATCAGAAATATATCTAGTTTTATGCATAAAAAATTCATAGAACAGAACACTGTAAATACTGACACAATGATGTTACTATTACAATCAGAAATACTTACCTAGTTTTATGCATAAAAAATTCACCCTATAAAAAGAGTGCTCATGCAAATACTGTTTTGATTATGCCAAGTCCTTAATGTCAGCTGGAAGATGGTTATATATCTTAACGCCTGCATAGGCAGGACTTTTATGAAACATCGTCAAGGGAGTCGTTACTTGAAAAAAATTAGAATTATTCCTGGTATTAAAATTATGAATTTCAGAATTTTGTCTAAACAATGATTTATTGGTAACCATAAACAGAGTCAAGGAGAGTATGTAGTGAGATGTTAGAGGTAATATATTTAAATTTTAAAAAATTTTCTGCAAGAATCCCTGGGTCTTGCTTCCATTAGTATTTTAACCATTCGCTTTTGGAGTTTGAAAATATTCGTACTGTGGGAAGAAGTTCCCCAGAAAATTAATCCATATGTTATAACTGAACGAAAATAAGCATGATAGATTATCTTTAGGAAATTTAAAGATAAGAAAGTTCTGATTGCTCTTGCAATATAACATGCTTTGTTTAATTGGGAAGCCAACATATCGGTGTGACTCTTCCAAGACAGAGTATTGTGAAGTACTAGCCCAAGAAACTTTATTTAGTAGTAGTGGCAATAATTTTGTTGTTATATTTAATTTGTATTTCGGAATTAAGAATATATTTAGAGTGGAATCCCATACAGTAGGTTTTGTCCAGATTTAGTGAGAGTAAATTTGCCTTAAACCATTTCATCACACTAGTGAAGACTGACTTCAAGTCATTTTCTAGTCCAGTATTGTTTTGATTACTGATGATTATGCTAGTATCATCTGCAAATAATGTTTGGGGGTTTACATTTACATTCAGATATTTTATAGATAAAGATAGGTCATTGATATATAGTAGGAAAAGTAAAGGTCCCAGGATAGATCCCTGGAGAACACAATGTTTGACCCGACCCCAATTTGATTCACTCTTATCAAAGGGTCCATTTTTAATTACCACCCTTCAATATCAATTTTTGAGATATTTTAATAACATATTGTGACATGTTGAGCTATGGATCACCCCTACCTCCCCAGCGGTACGCGGCGGTAACGTAACGCTCGCGTTACTACGGTAATAGGCGAGTAATCACCCCGCAATGCGCAACGCGCGGTGACGTCACGAGCGGAGC